ATAATTATGTTCTACCCTGATCATAACATAGGTACTATCAGTAGGAATATGCATCTGTTGAATAATATAATCTAGTTTATAAAATAAATATTTCATTTTATAAAATTTTTATCTGTGTATTGAATATACCGTTATTATTGCATACTGTAACATATCTATTGCTCGTGTGATATGTCCTAAATAATTTCTTACTTCCAATTGTTTTTTCACCACATTTAGAACAATAATTACAGGTCTCAATGGCAATATTTTATCTTGCCATTCATTTACTAAAAATAAAAAATATTAAAGATATGCATTTAAATCGTACCATCAGTATTTGGAAATTTACCTGTAAGAATTGCAGTATTTTTATCTTCTTTTATGAAGTGCGATTTAGTCCAATTAGGTGGATATTGAAATTGTTTGCTTGATTTCGATGTTATTCGACTATGGAGTAGTATAATAAAACCTATTAAAAAGTTTTGTAATGTATTTAAATTACTTCTGTAATACTGTAAGAAATGTATTTAGATATGTGCACATATTACAAAAGAAAATAGTAGATAATCCCACGAATGTTGAAATGAATGACGTAGCACTATTGTTAAAGTAATCGTATGTTGCAGCATCTGTACAGTTTTCAACATTTTTGATAGTGATGGGCTTAGCATGATAGCAGCTCATATTATTATTGTTTCCACAGTTTCCCTGAAAGATCGAAACATTGATGCACGCATCACTGATATCATTTTCTGCAACCGAAAGAAAGCTTATATTAATATAGAGATCAAATTTTAATAATAGGGTAGGATCAAACATACCTGACATAGGAACTTTAAAAGGATTTTGTGGAATATCATCATGATCCATGGCAGTAACAGATATTAATATATCGTAAAATGAAAGACATTCCAATCTTTCAATTTCATCAATAGTGAAAAGACTAGCATAGATTATTGTAAATTTGAATGTGAATAATGAAGAACATAGAATTATGAAAATAATGTTTTTTTTAGATAAAAATAACTTACTTATTATTTTTATTTCTATACCAAAATCTATCTCCAGCACGTATTCGTTGAAACTGATCAATTATGATAGCTTGAAATAATTCTCCAGGTCCATGATCAGTTTCTAATATACCTCCCACCCATATATCAATATTATCAAAAGAATTGTTATGCAGTTTCATAAATTCGTTCTTGATCTTGCCATGAAATATTGAATAGTAATATCATTTTTTTGTGCTATGAAATTAGGTAGTTTAATTAAGACTAATATTTTTTATACGTACATCCATATCTACATTACTGAAGTGAGATATATTATTGATTTTAGTTAGATTATATGCTATTCGAGCAGTATTATAATCTGGAAGTCCATGATCACGACCTCTTTGAATATTGAGTGCCATTAAGTCTCTTCTTGAGAATTCAAGTGGACCAAACAAACTGCCCCTTAAGTCATCTACTATTTTATGATCTTCTTCTGCGCATAGTTGAACAGCCATTCCCATAATCAATTTTTCTATATCAATAATTCCTTGCACCTTTGTCATATTTTCATAAATAGAATTCTACACAAACAAATCAGTTATTTTTAAATAATGTAAACAATTGATAATTTACCATGTATTTATATACCTTTGACATCCAATAGTTATTACATGTTCTAATTGCTCTATCATTCTGTTCTAATTTGCAACCCTCTCTACCATAGTCTCGTAAATATACACCTATTAAAAAGAATTATTTAATTACACCTCTTTTGTAATCATATTTTACAAAGCATGTATGATGTTTCTATTTTGCAAAAATTGACATTCTTTTTAATAAAAAATAACAATAGATGTTGAAGTAGGCTATGAATCGTTACATGTTGTCTCTCATCTATAATCACTGATATTAATTTATAATACATATAAAAGTTGATATGCTGAAGATAAATTTAATAAAAGTGTTTTGGAAAGTACCTGATGGAACTAGGGTATGACCAAAACGAAAAGCAGCAGCTTGAAAAAATTGATCAATTTGTGGGTCAATACTTGGATCGTAACCTTTCAAAAAATTATAAAAAGTTACATAAAATCTAAATAAAGAAAGATTAATTAATGAATTCTATTAACTTCAATGTTTTAAATTGATTACCATTGTACATAGGAAGTTCTTTACCCAACCATTCAGGTAACCATTCATTTGTGATAATGTGTTGCTGTGTTGCTATTACCCACTTACGAGCTTCATTGTAAACTTTTTCACCAGACCAGTTAGGTTGTCGACTTTTTATGTAATTTGATATATGATTATGCCATCTAAACCAAATTATACCAAAAGTGAGAAGAAATGGGTTTTCATTCCCTCTTGGATTTCCTAACTCTACAACATATGAGTGCAATACATGTATTTTAATCATTACATACATCATCCTGGAAATGCATATTTTACATTGCTTAAGACATGTAATATTGTCAAAAATATCTCATATTTTTCATAAAAAACAATACAGATTTGTACAAAAAATGACTGTAAGAGATGCATTGAATGCAGCTCTTGATGAAGAATTAGCAAGAGATGAAAAGGTATTTATTATAGGGGAAGAAGTTGCTCAATATGATGGTGCTTATAAAGTAACAAAAGGTCTTTGGAAAAAATATGGAGATAAAAGAATGATTGACACGCCTATTACAGAGGCCGGATTTTGTGGTATAGCTATTGGTGCAGCACTAGCTGGCTTAAAACCAATATGCGAATTTATGACATTCAATTTTTCGTTGCAAGCCATAGATCGTGTTGTAAATGGAGCAGCTAAAAATTTTTATATGACTGCAGGAAGGTATAATGTACCCATTGTGTTTCGTGGTCCAAATGGAAACGCTAAAGGTTTAGCAGCACAACACTCTCAGTGTTTTGGGGCATGGTATATGAGTTGTCCTGGTTTGAAAGTAACATCACCTACAACGTGTGAAGATTATAGAGGATGTTTAAAAGCTGCTGTTCGAGATCCTGATCCGGTTGTAATTTTAGAAAGTGAAGTACTCTATAATTTTACATTTCCTGTATCTGATGAAGCTATGGATAAGGATTTCATGATACCATTTGGTAAAGCTAAAATTGAAAAGCTGGGTAAACATATTACACTAACATCACATGGTCAAGCTACATTCTACACATTGCAAGCAGCTGAAATTCTAGCAGGAGAAGGAATAGAAGCAGAAGTTATAAATTTACGTTCTCTCAGACCACTAGATTGGGATACAATTTTTAAGTCGATTTCAAAAACACACAGATTAATGACAGTTGAATTGGGATGGCCTAGATGTGGAGTAGGATCTGAAATAGTAGCTACTGTTATGGAAAATCCAATATTTTTCCAGCTTGATGCCCCTGCTGTACGCTGCACAGGTATTGATGTACCTATGCCTTACGCGGAAAATATTGAATACGAATGTACACCCAAAGACCATCACATTGCAGAGTTTGCTAAGAAAATTTGTGGCATGAATATATAAATACATTTTGTATATCGAAAATAAAATTCTACTCACTAAAGAATCGATCAACTTTTTCTGTATAATGTTGTGCAATGTAGTCATCATGACCAATTGGAGGTGGTGGATTAGACATAGGCAATTTTTCAGTATTATATGCAGGATATGAGTTGTTGTAACTACTTGCTAATAATCCATTTTGATCAAAGGTACCATCTGAGTAGGTTCTTAAAAAATTTGACCATGCCTTTGAAGTACCATAAATGAGTCCACCATCCAGAAATGGAGTTATTTCATTTAACTATAATATTTATGCATTATTTGTATGTATATATACAGTGAGTTTACATAAAATATTCTATTAGATTGCTTTAATAATAAAAAACTATTTTAGATGAAAATTCTTATTAGCTATGTCTGTATATTTTTTATATTAAGAAAACAATTGTGCATTAATGTAAGATTGAAAACCTGTTGACGCGGGTTACTAGGAGAATGTCCAGTTCTTGTATCATAACGTGTACGTAATACTGGCATTTCATGATGTTTAGTTATATTTACGTAATCATGAGAAGATGGAATCTTAATGTTAAAGTATTCTGGTGGACATGCAGGTCTTTGTGCATCCAAAATTTCTTCTACAACATGTTGTCCTGTAGATGTAATATTTATGAGAATTACTAGGAAATAAATTTTTTTGAATGATCTATTATTTTATAACATACCAAAAAATACAAGCAATGTATTTCTTCCGGTTTTGGAGACAGAGCTAATATCACCTTTAAGTAGTTTTTCACTAAGTTCTATTGGATTTGGTCTACTCAAACCCGAAGGTTTGTATACACCATCTTCATAAGCAGCTGGCCATCTTCTCAGTAAAGGAGTATCAACGGCTCCTAACTCTGGCCGTCCAATATTATTGTACCATCCATCATAACCAGGATATTCTGTTGCTTTATTTTCAAAACCATTTTTTGTACAATCTTTTCCCCAACATCCCCAACTTCCAGTAAATAACCAATCTAATAATATCTCTTTTTGTTTGTTATAATTTGTTGGCTTGTCACCTTTGACCAAAATATTTTCAGATAATTTATGTTATTTTAACTATGAAACTATATAACAATCATTATGTAGGATATACACACTTACAGTTTGATGATATTTCACTATTAACATAGTTGAATATAACACAATAGTAAATAACAATTACATAAAACAGAGCATACATCATTTTTTTCAAACATAAAAATGAATAAAAATGAATAATAATAATGCTAAAGAACACTAATAAGAGATTCTTTAACACTCTGTGATTGAATTGTCTGTTCTAGCTGTGCACTCTTATAAAGTAAAAATTGTGGACAGGAAAAAAAACACCATACATATGTGATAAATTCATAATCTCTTCATCCTGACATGATAAGAACACACAGGAAACCGAAAGGAATGAACCACATTTTTATCAAATAACCGAGGATGTATTTTAGTAGTATTAAAATTACTGTCTAATAAGTCTAATATAGACGAAGTGTAATTATGTAAAACATTAAATTTGTACACTTGTATGCAATATATTAACAATGTATGGACCACGAAGGAAGATCTTTTGGTTTGCAGTAACCAGTAGAATAACAGTGTTAAGTTTGCAATTTATTTTCAATATTCTCTGTCCTGATCATTATGCAGATGCATTTAGAAGTCCTAGAGATAAATCTGAGAGAGTATCAGTGTATGATAATATAATAACATTATTATTTAATGGTCTTACACGATGGGATGGCCAATACTTTATACATATTGCTAAATATGGTTACACTTATGAAAATACTTTAGCATTCTATCCATTGTATCCTACATTAATTCGATTTAGTGCTGCTTGTATTAGAAAAGTATTTTATTCGTTGAATGTTAATAGTTCTATAATTACTGCTGCCATATTAATTAATGGCATATGTTTCGTAAAATCAGCTATAATATTTTATGATCTCAGTAAAGTAGTGCTAAAGAACACTAATACAGCTTACAAAGCAGCAGTACTTTATTGTATTAATCCGGCTACTATATTTTTCTCTGCTATTTACTCAGAGTCTTTATTTGCTTATTTAACATATTACAGTATGTTAAAATCTATTGATCTGGATATTTATGTAGCTTTCCCAATAAGTCTATCTATTCTTACAAGATCAAATGGTATGGTTAATATTGGT